TTTATTTATAGCCTCAGCAGCGTCTTGCTATAAACAATCTTATTTTCCCAACGTACACGACTTCATTTGTTCATGCACTGACGCTTGCAAGCGTTTGCTTCATTCACCAGCTAAGTACACAGTTGAACGTGTCCCAAGTACGTACAGATACGTCAGACATACTTGTTGCAGGTTTCATTAGTTACACCTTCGAGCGACGATGACATACAATAAGAATTGATGACTTAATCCAGTATGGCCTTAAATTTGCCAGAGATATTTATGATAACTTCTATGCATACATGTTTCTTGCCTTGTCTAGATCGTCTGCTATAATGAGGAATAGATACGTGTAGTCAGACAATGATACCCTTATGTCTTTGGCCAAAGCGTTCGAGGCTTGCTCTACACTTTGGCTCTGATGGAAATTCTTCCTTTGGTATTTATGTCATGTGAGATAATTCTCCTTCCATAAATACCCTTACGCACTTACGACCCACTATTACATCGAGATACTAAGCGCTATCGGGCTTAAGTTACTGGTGGGTTTTAGTGCCCTGGTGGAGTGGTCAAATTTTAGCACGTCGTCCTGCGTACTGGTCCTAACTAAATATTCTAGCGAACTCGAGAACTTTTACGGGTACTGTGTAGGCGATTATCTTTGAAGGTTACTGAAAGCGAAAAAGACCACGGGCTTTCTGTTCCATTAGCATCGTTCACGTGTGTACACACATGCTGCAATCCATGCTACCGAGTGCCGACCGTCTGTCCATCTTTGAATACTTCAATTGAATCGTAATGTACGTTTTAAGTTTCGTTACTGCGAACAGCCGATGATAAGGACGGGCACCGAAGAGGGATCTTAGTTTGGCAAACCATTGAGCAGTCAGTTAACCTTGTCTCAGTGAGACCCCTTTATTAGATTTACTATTTGATTTACGCTGTTTGCAGGCTCTGTGTAGCCGATGATGGAATGATATAATATCCGTAATAGCGACATATTCTATCCGTTAGTTGCTCAATAAGTAAGAGTTTTTTTACATTAAACATTCAGTAGTTGCTGTTGGGCCGAATAGGCCCATACGCACTTGCTTTAAATAGCCACACATCTAATTTACAGTACAGGTCCTTCATCTTTCGACGGTTGTGGCGTTTGACTAGGCTCACGTTTAGTATCTTACAGCTATTTAGACCGTTCTCATAGAGTAAATATTATTTTATCGGTTGTGTGACCAGAGTCATCCGACGACGGTTCGCCAAAGCACTCGATACGCGTTATCGTCATACGAACAATGCAACGAAACGTATAAATTTACGTCATGCACAAAACCGACAGACAAGGACAGAACGGAACGGAAAGAGCCTTGAAGAAATCACCTAACAGAGCGAGTATGGCGGGAGTAGGAGTAGCTGAAAAAAACGACGACAATCTAAAAGGAAATTATGATTTAAGCTTATAAAGCCAGAAAATAATTGCTCAGATCGAGCTAGCGGTATGTAGACGTTTAGAGATTTGTATGCACCCGAAACCATACTGAAACCCAAAGCATCTGTCACTACGGAAGGGAGCCTTGATTCGATCGCTGACATCTAAAACATTCATCAAGTATGATCAGTTTTATCTGTAATCATTTAGGGCCAATCAATCCGGGTGTGTCAATCTGAAATGTTTTGCTGTACGTAACATCTCAATAGCTTAATATAACTAGCGTGCGGAAGAGCAGCCACTATTGATTTCTGATTGTTCGGTCAGAAGAAATAGGACACAAAATTCTTAAGACGTCTATGAAAATAATTTTGCGATTTTCGTTTGACGTTACGGTTGTTTCGAAATACTCGATTTTCCTAAAGACGAAACGCTGTGGCTTTGATAAATATGGAACGTTGTCTATTGCCAAATTCTCTGTGCTGTATTTTTAGAAGTACCCTATGTTCAGTAACGTGTTTTACAACTAATATCTGGCGTTAACTATGGCAACTCTACTCAAAGCGTTAAGCTTATAGAAAGATAAACGTTATTTAGGCGTTTCAAGTAGCAAGGTGTCACAATTCTAATAAAGTAACAATTATTTCAGGATCGTTAGAAGCGTAAGTTGGCCGTCAAAGGCCCAACATTTCGTTATACATAACCACGCTAACGTAACAAGCCTGCTAACACCGATATTTAAAGTCTAAGCCATAGCTTTGTAACAATGTCGAGGGGATATAGAAAAATCAGCGAAACAGGTAGTAGGGGTAAGCAAGTACGATTCTAAATTCTACCCTAGTGCCATAATTCATAATCGATGTACCTTTACAGTAATCCAATATGCACCTTTCTAATATCATTTTCACCTGTTTACAAAAAGGAGAAGAAGCTGCTCTATATGAAGTTATGTATGTCTATATAGTGCTGGTGATTCTACATCTACGAGAGTATATAGGACCGTTTAAGACAGTATGCGTCATATGGGCTATGCGAATCGTGTTGCGCTTATAAAACTGATTTGAGAAATTTACCACATGTCCTAGAGGTAGCACAGGCATAATTTCCTTCGCATTTAGAGCACGACTCGTCCCTCTTCCACTCGTTATTGCTCATCGCATCCGAAGCAAAGAAATTCCCATTTATCTCTAGGAATTCTTTGCATCGAGTTTCTAAGGTTTATGTTAAAGGCTTCCGTTATTGTGAGCTCAAAGCGATGACCTAAGTTCTCGCATAACAGTACCGAGTCGGCTAGGAGATATACGAGCCGATTTTGGGTGTATACTTTCAGTGCCCTTTTGGGGAAAGAGGAGGCTTTGACGCAATGTAATTGTTCAAAGTTCTTCAGTGTAAAATCTTCTAGGATGACCCATATATTATACGCTGCGATCGAAGCTTCTTTAATGTCAAACAATCTGAGAGCGGTTGCGAGGGGCAAGTGATAAGGTACTTTGATTGCTCATATGGCCAACACTGGCCTCCTACATCTTCCAGTGAAACTTCTTCCATTCGCGAAGTAGAGCAACTCGAAGTGTGGAAACCGGTTTAGATAGACAAGAGGCAACCTGGCAAAATACAAGATGTCAGTCAGCTCTGTTCTGCTTTTTTGCCTAAACTTTACTGTCTCCAACTTGGCCCGGGTCTGTCCTAAATTTATAAGCACCGCGTGGGGCCTAGCTAGAGTTTGCTGGATTTAAAAGTTGCCGGACCCGTACATCATCAAATCGACCGTGTATAAGATGACTTCGACTAATTTCCTCGGCGTTCTTGTTTTATCAGGGAGGCTCTTAAGCAAGATGGACGGTAAGAGTGGGCTTAGGTTGTCTCCCTGAGCCAGGCCGGTTGTCTGTATGAAAGGCGGGAGTTTTATTCTGCAAGAGAACAGTATAACTGTTCTGGCTGGTTATGATATATGGCTACCGTACTACAAATGTACGCAACAAGTCCAAGACATTTTGCTTACATCTAATTTCCCGCCTCGCTAAATCGCAGCAGAAATAACACTGTCGCCACTTGGGAGATTGTGACCTCATTCCGTCTAGCATTATGGGCGTCATTACATTCGAAGCTGGGTCTCTCTGTGCCATTGGTCAGATAACTATACCAACGATTCCCAGAGATAATCTTTGAATTTAGATTTGCTCAGATTGAATTGGGGATCACTACGAGCATTCCCAGCCGGTGCCCGACCGACTATTATAGGCAGCCAATCTCATTAGTGCGGTCGCATTAGGGTTTTGCGGCAGACAAAAATAGCCATTACTATCATAACAGGACAAATAATGGAAAGTAGCAGATATGACAAGGTCGTTGTGTCAACACAACAGTATGTTTCATATTGGCAACTGTTTGAAGCTAGCTCACTTTGTCATTGTCTGAATAAGTAACTTCTATAAGCAACTTCACATGCGGCTATGAGCGCAGGGTCTGCACGAGGCGTTCAAATGCAGTTTATGAGCATTATACGAGCATCGAGAAAAAGTTCATAGCAGGTTCATTCGGCAACGCGCTAAACAAGACTTGTCCACTAAGTAGAGAGCTCGGCAAATGTCGTCGAGGTTCGTTGCCAGTAGTTGCGAGGGCAGAACCTGACCTTTTATTTTTTCCTTCCTAATTTGTGGCACATCTAGACGAACAGAGGTAAGATCGGTCTGTACGACTGAAAATTAATGTTTCTTCGGGCGGGTAAAAGAATGAGAAGGACTACATTGTGGATGTACATAAGTTGCCTTATAAGAAAGTTTGAAAAAGCAAGTTCTCAAAAAACGTCGAGCTGCTTTAAATACAATAAGAAATTCTATTGTATTTTATTGTATATTAAACAAGATCTTAGCCTAAAAATATGACCTTTTAGACAAAGTTATAGGAACTTGGTGTAATTCTGATGTTTAGACTAGTCATTTGTTTTTTTTGGCGCAATTCATTTGCTGTGTCTTGACCCAGTTGAAGATCATCGGATTTCGTACTTTAGATTTGCCTCTACGATCGTATTAGCTGATATATTATCAATTTAAAACTGGACAAAAATCTTCTCGAATATAGTGTAGTGTAAAGGTACATGTTTTGCTTTATTTAGCGTGTAAAACGCATCAGGCCTTAAAATGTGGGCCTTTTGTATACTTTGAATCACTATGTATGTTTTCTAACGACCCCATCGAAGTTGAGGCGCGTACGTTTAGCGTTGTCAAGTTAGCCACTAACTTACAACAGCTGAATAAAACATTGTGTATTCACAGACCATTGTGAACAATTACAGCGCTACTAGGGGCTATCTATTATGAAATTTATTTTTATTATTGGATGATGGGCTTTATTTCTAAAACAAAAAAAAAAGCAAAACAATGGAAGCGTAATAACATCAAAAGATGTCGAATTTTGATCAAAATTGTGCCGATCAGGATATCCAATGCACCCACCGCGTACTAACCAAAAAGTTGACGAATTTTAAAAATAATGTGGATTGTTCTTATATAAACGTCACTAGCTAAAGGAGATTGCACACTGATCCTTTTAAAACTGTATAGTAGCATTTTATATTACAGGACACATTTAGTACTTAGCCAGGTCAGTGACAATCAGTAAGCATCATTTATATTGAAGTTTGCGCTTAATATCAATTGGATCCGATTCAGACTGAAACCCTCTCACCCCTAGTTAATTAATCCCCTGTTTAATTGACCAAGTCAGATTGAAATTTATAAATTTAAATAAATAAGTGTGTTTGAGACGTGCCATTTACGTTAATACTCGATGCCATATGATAGATATTTTAGAAACGCGCACACAGTCACCTAGCTTATGCGGTCTCAAAAACTTCAAGTAAGCACACCGGTTATACGCCCAATCCGGTTCGACCCGCTGTCAGGGAGCTTGCCCCTAAAAAAAACTGCTATTCGATAATTCTAAAATTCCTATGTCTTAGGTAGGTGACCAAGGTTGACTGCGCTTTCCTCCGGAATAAGCGTACATCACGGTCGGTCTCGGGCCACAGATCTTTCATCACTGAGCCACTTAACGGCTATTCTTGTAGTAAGTTGAACGTCCGTGTAATAAGTTCTAGTTGCACATTAGTAGCAATGCAGGTAAGCCCCATTGACTTTAGACAGCTACCACCGTATCGTTTTAGCGACAATCTTCGTCCATCAATCGAAAGTTCACATCGAACCCTGAAACCGAAATATTTCCAAGAATAGACAAACGATAAGCATAATGTTTAAAGTTTATAGGAGAATGTTTATTAAATATTCTTACATATGTTTAATATTAGAGGATACTATCAAACATAAAGGACAAGCCAGGCAAAGACAAGTGGCATTGCATTGGCTACTAAGGATCTTTTCTCCTAACGTAAATAAAGGTAGAAGTTTTTACGCTCATTGCAAAACCTCGCTAGACTTTTTCCTTCAATATGTTGAATTTAATCAGGCTTCATAAGGATGTGTATGCTGGCCATCAATGATTTTATCGAAATCGATCTTATGGTTGGATTTTCTCTTAAATGCACTGTTTTCTGGAACGCCACTCAGTGATGTCACTTTTCATAGGGAATACCTACTACTCGTAAACGACTACGATCTCAGGTGGATTATCACCTTTTTGTCTTACTTTAGTATGGGTTTAAAAAAAAATAGCGAAAATCACTAACAAATGTATCTGGAAATGTTACATTCGAAATAGCGTTTTCTCTGTTCTTAAAAATTCTATTCAACGTATACCTGGTAAGGTTAAGAAGTTTCACTATCAAGTTCATTTATCACCTATGCTATATCAGCCACCTCAATATCTGTCCATCAAATCTTGGTCCTTTCGGTGGTGATCAGTCGATGGCAATTCATACTCCTGAAACGGTTAAGTGATCATCATTCTCCGAAATAGCGAGCAAGAACTTGACTGCTAGTGAAGAAAAAAGGCCTCTTTCTCGTCCGAAATGTGCTGAATCTATTGATGACGGCAAGGACCTTCTACTTCTTTTGCGGCATATGGTCCTTTACTGAAACGACCTTTGAGCGGGGCTTCTTATTCTTATACCAGAAGTACTCAAACACCAATGTGATGCAAGCCATCACCACGCCAATGAAGATCACGATGAACACGCCACCTATTGAAACAATATAAGAACAGCATGAAGCGACCATCACGACCTTTAACTTGAGCTATTTACCAACTACCAGTTTGCGCAAACTGGAAAGTTTGTCTCATGACATATCTGTTTTTTGATAAAATATTTGACAATGGACAAAAAACTGACTGTCCTTCTTGATGTCTAAAGTTATCACCGAGATAAGCAAATAGGACCACTTGCAAGCAGAGTTTTTTAGATGTCAAAAATTTCCTAGAAATTGCATTAGAAAAACTTTAATTAACAAATCTAAGACTTCCCAGAAAGCCAATGGATTTTTTTCTGTCACTCGTGTCAGGGTTTACGGAAAAAAGAAAAAGTAGAAACAGCAACTTTAGGCTAAAAGGGATGCTATGAACCTATATAAACCTGCGGTACAGTTCTAAGTGGTCTCGTTTAAAGAACTGGCCCAACTCCAACACCAGGACTACACTTCTCGCTGAGGTTGTTTTACCTAATACAGAATTTGCACTCCCTAAACCGAAGTAATGATGGGTACAGCAGATGGAATAATTTTCCTCTCGGCAAAAAGCACTTTCGGACAAAGATCATACAGGATCTATGCTGCTTCGAGGTCTGCTACAATTGTTCAAATAGGATTTCATTTATTAAACGCACTTCTTATGAAGATAGATTTAAGGTATACATCAGCGACTATTGATCTCGTGTTTACTACAAGTTGGTTACAAGGAGCGTCATACAGTGCAGGCAGTAAGGTTTTATGTAGTTCAGTAGCTGAACGTGAAATCTTAGTATTAAAGATCAGAGCGCGTTGTTAATATTCTACCCATAGTTGCATACCCTTTTTACTGTAAATGTACCATCAGGCAGATCCATGATACTGCAGCGCTTATGCAAAATAATCAAAATATTACTTTTAGTATCAGTTTTTTTTAGTTAGAAAAAATAAGTTACTGACCGATATTTTTGATAGAGATACCATCGTTGTTTTTTCCTTCATCATCACAGTTTTTCTTTTCGGGGTTTCCATTCCACCACGCTTCCTTGAGGCTTTCTAATTTACGCTGGTTCAAAAGCTTCAGAATGCTGCAAAGTTCGTATCATACGTAACTTTAGGGATATTCTGATCAAAAAAACATATATATATATATATATATATATCTATAGGCCAAAAAAGCTGTATGGGCCAAAGCGGACAAGCTATCACAGAGCAAAAGTTATAAAAGCTGATAAAAATTTTGCTACAAGAGACGAGAGAATTATATGGGTATATTCTCCAAGGAGTCTTTTATCTTGTTGTCTAAATTGAAGCAATATACCCCTAGTTTTCGAAAAAAAATCAATTAAAGACTTCTATGTTGTCAGCCCTTACAATCCCACCTTCTAGGGCCTTATCGGCCAGAGGTAGGATTATACGCGTGATTCTATATATATATATATATATATTCTGCGTAAAGAAGTTTATTAGGGTTATTGGAATGAACAGATAGCGCTCCTATAATCTTAGTTGGACGCTTCCTATCTACTCTTCTAAAGAAACAGGTATTAATATACGAGTGGGCAGTAAATTTATTTGGAAGTTAGTTGAATGTAATTTACTCTGTCGGACAGTTAAAGCAAATAAGCGCATATGTCTTCAAAAACAAACTACTGATGATGCTTTGTGAGAACAACGGGTGACTTGTGCGCTCTACGATTTGCTACTTGCGGTAGGGTGGGCATCAGCAACGGGACTTCCCATGACAAAGCTTCTATTTCCGAGAATACATGGCTGACCTGCCGGAGTGACGCTCCGTGATAACTCGACAGCACTGGCTAATTATCAATCTGTGCCATTGAAGGAAAAAAGACCATCTTCTATGATTATGTTTCCCTTCAACAGAACGATATCTGTTCTTTGAAACAATATTTCCTACCGAAAATTATTCCTCGTACGCACTTTCTACGAATCTGATTATGTGATAGATCGTGATTCTTCTACTGTAAGCACTGACAACATTCTACTGAATTGTATAAATGACTGCCGCGTCCAGTGGTTGTAGATTGTTTGCGCCATGATGAATGTGTACGATATGGATGCCCTTTTTCAAAGCCAATTTGATCGCGCTTAAATCTCTATAATCTCGTGCTTATCCATAACTAGCAAGCATGCCTTCTCCGGGGAACAGCATGTAGTCGCGATAAAACGGTTAATACAGCCTTGAAACCGTGTGATCCATCAAGACAGACTTGAAAAACCTCAGTTTCCAACAGGTGCCCCCATTGGCATATGGTCCTTGAGGTGCACACAAAATACGGTAGAACTGGGTTTCCATTTGCGGATACGATGATACGTTTAAAAATCTGATACATTTAGGAATTAGATACCCTTGTCGGCGACATCGCGTAGTTTCGACGACGCGCCACTGAGAAATGCTTATTCTACTGCGCTGTTAGATAAATTTATTCAGTCAACTTAAAAGGACAAGCATGCCTGCAGAAATTTGACCTGTTAGCAAATTGAAGACGTTAACTAATCGTCGTAGTAGTGACCGTGTAACATAGTAATCGCGATTATCAGGATGACGCGTTTGAGTCCTGTCGACAAACGTATTTTCTTTTCGATGATCCTGCATGAGAATATCGACGGCACAATTTCTTTCGAAAGCTACTCTAAAATAATGGATACATGTGTGCCTACTATGGAGAATTGTACTCAGGGACAATTTGATTTTTCTAATTTATCTGCCTGATAAGCGATCGACGACATTCGAAATAGTGCTGGTCCATATAGCCCCGCATTCTTATCTCGCCGGTTTAGCCCCCATCAGGATTATGAGGGCTCAGTTTACTGAGTTTGATGAAATATAACTTAATTACAGTTTAACATAGAATTGAGACAAACACAACTACGATAGTGAAACGAGGCGGTAATTTCGCTTCTTTATGATTCAGCCAAAGCTCGATCGAGTACTATAAACATACTTAGCAATCTCACATATATATAATTGTACACTATGATGATGTAAAAATTGAGAGGAAAAATATTAATTTCATAAAAATATCGAACAACGATATTGACTAGCGTATGGCGCCGCTGATTGTTTTGCTTAGACAACACATAAATTACGGGAAAAAAAAACGTATAAGCCGATGAAACTAATTTAGATGGAGGTAGACCAGATGATTAAGGTATATCGCCAGTCGATCGCTGCCAGCGATTTTTTCCACCAGTCCTATACCGCGTTTAATCAAATAGTGAGAAATATTCGCTTAATATTTGGCACAGTGATTCCAGTTCCGCTTCGTCATTCCGTCACAATATTCACTTGCCAAAAGTTACTCTGCTGAGCGAAAATTATCATGTCACCGCTACAACATATTGGATCATTCATTTGGACGATATATCTGCGCATGTCACCTAGCAAATCAAATCCGCCCGGCACAATTTTGTACCATGATAAAAAGAAAATATGTGCTTATCGCGATAAACAAGATATTATAGTTTAAATATATGTAAATAAATACACGCCTATGAATACAAGCGCGGAGCTCGTTCCTGTCAGCCAGCGATAAAGCTAAAGCAGTCCGCTTCATTTCGATGGCAGCGGAGCGATGGATTGCGATATGACCGAAGTAGCTAAAGAGTTTCTCCAACGGCTGGCTGATTGGGGGTTGTTCCCAGAGATTCGATGAGAGCAAGTCTAAGCGAAGGGCTAGCGAGTACGAGCGACTTGCGAAGCGACGGAAGTGGTCACTGGGCTAGGTCGTGAGACGCGGGCGTAGACATTTACCAATAGCGGTACGGTGCCAAAATCAGTGTAGACCAAACGTGGGACAAAACAAGAGTTGCAAGCTTGCTGGAAGAAATTTTCTTTCGCTATGGGAAAGTTGGTGAAACGTTTCGGAGTGCCAAGCGGCCTCTGCCAGAGGAGTTAGGAACGAAGCTCGACGAAATCAGGTTTCCCTGTTTTTCTCGCCGCTGAAGGAGTGCTATGCTGAATTGTTCCAGGTGGTTCGAGATTATATGCCGGAAGCCTTTGGCACTTGCTGGAGGGAGCGGGTTCCACGAGCTGTTCTAGTTTCGCGTTGCGTGAGCAAATCTTGGACTAGCCTACCAGTTTGATTATCCAGAACCTCTACAACGATGACGACTTGGCGGCACTTCAACTGGTGAGCCGTCGGTGAGCAATAGTAATCGCTGAACTGCGAGAAGATCGGAAAGTAGGTCGCTTTGTACTCAGACGAGGCATTTTTTGTCGTTCTGGCCGAAGAAAGTTACGATCCGTACTCATAGTGAGATAACACAGAATTTGCTGGACAGAATATTTTTATATATATATATATACATTATTCCTATCCTTTGTCCAAGTAGTATTGTACTATCATATATCACTTTGTGGCATATTAGTGGCAAGGAGTTTCCCCCTCTAAGTCTAGCCGAAGCGGGTCCTACTGGCCTTACCTTCCTTCAACAGATTTATCAAACCGTATGATGACGATTTTCTATGCTAGAATTTGAAACAGCGATGGGAGCATGTCCCAACGAATTTGAAAGAAATGGACATTAGCCACTAAGACTGACTTTAAGAACTTAGTTCACAACCGGAAAATTGCAGCAAGGCATATTGGAAATGGCTCGTATAAACGGTTGGTGCATTTCTATGGTCCAATGGTCAAGTACCAAATTTTTTATGGTAATAGGCATTGCAAGACCAAATCTCCAGGTACAAAACGACGACATGGCCAAATGTTTCCCGAAGTGGTCATGGTCGTGTAGAAGCATTCGTTAAACATTTTATGTCGACGTTTACATTTTAGTGCTAAATGACCAGCGTGGGTTAAGTAGATTTTACGACCCCAAAATATTCGATACGTGAGGAACCATTCAGTAAATGTTATTGTTTGCATCGTTGGGAATAGATAATCGAAAATGGGTAACAAAAGAAACGATCGTCGACGAATGTACGCTTGGCGCCATATAATGTGCAGGAGGTTGCAATATACACATATGCTGGCCGTTCTGTGTACCTCTACATGTCGACTTTCTACCCAAGGGTTTTTAGATAAACTTAAATGATTCAGTTGGTTTTTAGTAGAGAGCTGCCGTTGGTAGGGAATTGAATATGAATGGTAATATAGTTTAAAGTTTGAACATAAACACTTGCCTGAAATCTTAACCGCCTCAAAGTAGCGCAGAACAGCGAGAACTAAAATAACTGATTATTTGGCCTAGTTACGGAGCGTATCCGAAACAGAATATTTGTTGTTATTGTTTTCGACAGCTCACGCTGTGGCTAAGATGAGTTCGAAGATGGCCAGGTAAACAATCAACTAACGTCTAAAAATAGGCGATTTGATGATCACGGTGTGAGTTAGGGTCAAATTTTCGAAAGGGAAGAGGGTGCTTTGAGTCGGATGAGCATAAAACACAATTAAATGAACCGTATGCGCTATCAGTACAATGAAGAGGTAAAAACTAGGCCGTAACCAGTGAGGAACCACGGATTTTTATACGCTTATCTCACTCGTTTTAAACGCATATCTAATCTAGACCTGGGTCATGCTACGTACGCGCTTGAAAGTTGATCACGAAGTGGAGAATTCTGCTGTACAGCAAGCGCCAGCGGTTTTCGCGAGAACTCTGAGCCTATCTGGGTAAGGTCGCAGTTGGTCATTGTTGCGTACTTGATCTGTGTCGCATCAGCTAAAATGGCGCATAAAAGATTAATTTTAGGGCATGTATGATCGGATGGCTTAAATTAAAAGCCAAATCTTATATTTACGATAATCAATAACTCAAAGAACAATCAATAGTTATAATTAAAAATGTATCCAAAAACAATTTCAAGGGCTTTCTTGGGAATCTAAAAGACTTACTTAGAACATTGCCAAGAACATTGCCAACTTTAGAGTTGGTAAGGAAGCTCTATATGACCTAGCTTTCTGAACTGGCTGTGACATGGTCTTCCATTGACATAGTCTATAATGCTTCTATAGGTAAGATTTATAACTTGTTTCAGGTCCTTTGCTAACATCTAATTCAGGTTTATGTTGTAAGTAGATTTGAATATATGCATATACGCAGATAATGTTTGAAATAGTTATTTCGTTTACCAATGAATGCGAAACCGTCGCTTCCCTGACTATTTTTGACGCGGGCTACGCCTTCCTCGAAAGTCAGGGGCAGACTAGCTTCCTGCATAGTCCACCAAATTTTAGTATATTTGTCACTGACTGGATAGTCCCATACGGCCAACTCAGCCCTCTGATCGTCAGTGAGCGTGTCATCGAGAGACATGTTTTTCCAAATCCTATCATGTAAATGAGATTTCAGTGAGCAATACATCCGATGATTTAGCAACAAGATCTGCAATCTAAAGTAATATTTACTATGTGCGTCGAAACTTATGTCAAGTCTTGTAATATGATTTTGTTTACACACTGTAGTTTTCAAGCGAAACCATCACCTCATAATGTCGTAATACTCACTCATAGAATTTCTCTTCGATGTTAGCCATTCGGTGGAAATAGGTAGAGGCTGTCGTTTGACCTTGGGGAGCGTACTTGACCTTATACTGTTTAGAAAGGTCATCCAAAGATTCGATTGGCGACTCCAGACGGGACACAGTGAGGAAAGCGGCCAAATTGGCGGTGTACGAAGCAATTATGATGAAACCAAATAACCACCAGGTCGCTGCAACCAGTCGACCAGATAAATTTCGTGGAGCTTCACCACCACCCTGAGGGGTCAGCGATGTCATGCAGAACCACAGGCACTCCTTCAGGGTAAACTCACGTTTCTCGTCATCGTCTTTGTATTTTTCCTTGTTGTTTCTGAAGGGACCCGAACACATTATTATTTTATAAGACTGTTATATGTGTGTGTGTGTATGTGTGTGCGCCAACTGTCGCTCTTTACCCCCGGTAGGAAAAGCCATATTCGACGAAGAGCATTACAAACTTCATTCAAGTTATCTCAAGCTATGCTAGTAGAAAATCGAATAAATTATACGATGAGTGACTCTCAACTACCAGACCTTAAATAGAAGCCTATTGCTGTCGGTTATTGAAAAGATCGTTCAGTATACAAACATCCCGAATGTTGTCAAGTATCGAGGTTAGAATTTTTGCTTACCTATAGCTGTACGGCGATAGTCTATCGAAAACGAACATCAGAAACGATGTAAAGAAGTAGGCAGCCAAGATGCAGCCCCACACATTTGTCTCGAGTACAGTAAGAAACTTGAATAGCGAGGGTTTAATCTCGGGTTTTTTCATCAGAATTGACAGACCGACAAGGTCATAATAAGGCACCGTGAAGTCAACCACTGTCTCGCGTTCCGCCATGACCGCGATCGGTCCAAGGGCGATTTCCGCTTTCTGCTCGTGAGCACAATAAAGAATCAAATTTTTTAACAGCTTCGATAGGGATGTTTCATGTAGAACGTATGCTATAAGGAAAATTTCTATATTGTGTAACCCGGCAATGCCACACGGTCTGGCAAAATGTGAGTCGGCACTATTTGAGAGACCCATACAGTTCTACTAGATATCAGCGGGTTTTAGATACATGGTGTAGAAGAAGCCCCAGTGCAGTTCGTAAATATCTAGTTCCTCACATAGGGAAAACTATTCTTTGTCTCTAGTAGGATAAGAGATAGATAGGACCACAACACGGCTTGTGATACCTTTCATGTTCCAACATATTTCCATAAGCCTAAAGCATATTCGTACGTGTTCCTTATGATCGGTTGATTTCAAACCTTTTTTACGAGCTCGCCAATAAGTCCATTCCACAGGCCGGTCTCCTTGTCTTTCGATCCAAAGTGCTTGTCCTCAACAGCGTAAATATTATACTCAAATTTGAGAATCTTCTTGATTTCGTCAATCAGGTCGATACAATAACCGTAAAACTCTGGGCCTGATCCGTTGCCTTTATAAACGAACGGAGGTTGCTATGCAGCCGTGCAACAAAAAATGCAATAGGTGTCCTAAATCAACTATTCGATCGCTTATGGTCTCGTCTACTCATACGTCTGTCTACACAACGATTGAAATCAACGTGCTGAAAGATAAAAGCGAAGCTCATAATCGAAGTAATTTCATTTGATAACATTGATTCACACAATTCTTCACTTAAAACCTACGATTAGAGTGACCACTTTGTAGAAAGTCACCGATCCGAATTGTTCCAGTGCGGTCTGATCAGCTTTGGTCCACATCGCCGCTTTCGCATCACCCCCATACACGTAAAAGCCTTTTTCGTTGTCTTGTCGAGTTTTAGACGCCGTGTAGTTAAAGTGCGCCACCTAGTGAAGTCCGCATGAGGTCAAAAACTATTTCTACTAGCGATCATCTAGTCATTTATGCTACATCTTCATCATTATGCTATATCTTTATAAGGCAAACGGAATTTCGTCGTTGTATGTTTTACAAACGGCACCGGCATTAAGTGGCTGACGCTTAACACGAGGCAAACAATGACTCACTGCTAACAGACTCACTTATTCATGGTCGTGCTATCAACGTGTTGCTCGTTTAACGATATATGTTCTACAGACGAGAATAAGAAAATATTTCGAAAATTAGCAGATGCGAATTATAAGTTACCTTCATATTAATGGCTTGATAGCCGGGTTTGTTTCCCGCATCAGTGAAGTAAATGTCACCGTAGCGGGTCGAAAGCTTCGATGACTCCAATGCGTTTAATAGGTTATAATCATCTCGTGTGGCGGGTTTCTCACGACACGATGCCCTAATAGGCTGCTTCGAATACTTGTTATCCGCGAAAATACGGGTTATCATGTAGTAGGTAATTTCCTCATAGAACAATCCGTCCAGCTAATCGTAAATCAACAAAATACGTGTTATTGTATAGGTAGATCTTTTTCTATTCCTTTCCAGTAATAATACATTATTGAAGATCGAGAAAATTGCCAAGTGTCACCTTATTTCTGGCTAGAGGGCGGTATCTATCTAGAGGATGGTACCTTCTCACTGCCGTACGCGCCATCGATTCCAATACGCTTTCCTTCCTTATCAGCAGGGTGGACAAAGAGTACTTCATGGTTCATACAATCCTCACAGACCGGTTCGCCTTCCTGTTTTGTAATTAGCACCCAGCAATGATGACGCGGTTTCCAGTCGTTCTCCTGGGCGGAATGGAGGGCATTACTCAGGTGGCTAATAGTTCCCACAACGAAATAGTTGGACACATCAGTTGACTGAATAACCTTCGTCTTGTTAACAAAATCCGCCGACGATTCGGACACTTGGCGCATGATGTGTCGCGTGGGAACGTTCTCCAAAAGGCGAGCGTATTTGTGGTCGATAACTTGTAACATAGGTAAACGAGAATGAGTTACTTAGTATTTGGACTAAACAAGTTACAATGGACGAGTAGATAAAGTGGATAAGTTCAGCGAATGAACTTGTGTATTTTCAAGAACATAATAACATATACATATGTCATATAAATACTGTGTACAGATTAGTAATTGGCGCTACTTTTATTCTTTAGTAGCTTGATCACTTACTGACACTCTTATCATAAAGAATTCCAGCTGTCGCTAGGTCCATCTTAATGCTCAGTTCCCGAACGGCCTGTGTGTACGAATCGCCTGGCGGCGTCACGTGTATCAAGTAGTCATTCTCCTCTGGTTTTTTACCATTCCACCCACTCATCTGATATTCGTCGGTGCTTCCTGTGCCGTATTATTGCCGCCCCCATAAAGTAGAATGTAATATCGCAAGGTTATAGCTATAATAAGGCCTTTGGTCACTGCAGTTTATCAGAAAATGCTTATGACGTAAAAATAAATAAAAATAGGCCTATGTTATGTTAATATGTTCGAAGTGATTATTCACGGAAGAATAAGCTCTGCATTCGTGCACGCTGCTTAGAGCAGGTACGGTAGGCAGGACTTGGGATTGGTCCCGTGTCCTGAAGTCATTCCATAGTCCCTGTGACAGCTTCTCACGATGGCAAAACAGCAATATTTCCACATCTATTAATTCCCTTGTTTGCGGCGTAAATAGGCTATAAATGGCAGGGGAGCGCGCCATCTATGAGTCAATAGCCAACGCCTAAATGAGTTCACGGTATCAGTAAATAAATATTAGATTTAAGAAGGCTGCTGTCTAGTTCTAATCAGTTGAAGATTGATGTAGACAAACGAAATCATTGAGCCTATGGCAGATCTTTCTACATCATCTCCTGGAGTCAAAAAACCTGTAGTAGAATAAGGAAAATGCTAGAGACGTTTTCGAAGTCGCCTTATGATAGCGGCTACAGTCAACGGAACCCTTATACGCCACACCGACAAAACCTTGACAAAAAAACTATTTACGACGCACACAATAACAATGAGTTCAATGCATCCACTCCAAATGTTCTCAGCAAGCGGAATTCGCAAAGTAACTGCGTAACGTAAAAATATAGCTTATAAATTGTTTCAAATATAAAACTAATTTTAATATTCAAGGATCTGTTTACAGAACCAACTTTCATCTGAAGGGATTGAAGTCCGTATTCTCCATGTTTAAATCACTAAATTTTCGTAAACACAACGGTACTTGGGCTCTTTTTCATCTATTTTAGAATTCCTGTTTGTGAACAGTTCTAAGCCTGCGACTGGGGCAGAAACACATCATGCGACCATTGCGATACAAACAGAAAAACAACAGATTACAGCTATACAAAAACCTATCAAACGATAAGTCTTTCGGTTACTTACGAATTAACTAGGTGGTCAAACAATATAATCGATATGTATTTTACTCATGCGGCGTCGTACCATTGTGACAACAATAGGTTAAATACCCATTAGGAAATACATCTCAAACAACATACCGTATGAGAGATCCAGTGTTGGTATAGCGAGATTTCTCACTGTTTGCTTGATTTCTTTTGTCAGTTTATAATAGTTGCTTCCGGGTGTACGAACCGTATTTATAACGAGACTCGGCTGATTCTCCATAATGATGTCGCATACTGAACAAGCCCGTCGAGAACACCCATTCAAAACCAGACTAGCTTTTAATATATACGAAAAAACTTCATATGAACAAAGCATCTGTCCTATCTGATCACTGAAGTCGACAAAATCCAAGGCTCAGCCGCCGTGCGTTCCCACATTGGTTTATTAGAGTTAATAATCATAATTGCTGAGCGGTGTTTAAGACAGGAGTAGAAGTTTATAGAACATTCTGCCGTTCCATCTGTGCAAGTGTTCTATTCAAATACTTACTACTTAATAAGCCTGAATGTTTTTAGCATGATTTTAAACTTACAATCTTTTAATTCGTCGTCTGCATCCATAACGACGAACTGCCAATGGATAGTTTTTCCGTCGTTTTTTGCACGCTGTAGGCCAGCTTCAACGGCTTGTCTTGCCAGCTCGAACTTCTTCTCGACGATGACGGCTGTCAGTTGGCAAAAAAATTGATCAGATCAGACTGTTTCCTAGGTATGACATTATAGCTATGGTAGTAGAATCAGGGCCACTGGTCATCATGCTTGCCTGAGTTGAAGGCGATTAAGGTACTGCCTAGCGTGCGAACAACGAACAAATCACGATTATGGGTCGTAAATATAAAACATGGGTCGTAAACATATCTCGTAACTTTTTTGAGTTTACGTTACATACGGTCAAGTATGATTTTAGTAGGTATTTTCGAATAAGGCCTACTTCAGCCTCGAATGGTCAAAGATTGTCTGCAGTGAGTCCGGGGTCAACGCTATTGAATAAGATCCGTGTAAGCGACTTAAGTGATTGCACAGCGTTTCCAATGGCCATTTTTAAAGGTGATCACACTGACTGAGTAAATAATACACGCGGACTCGCCACTGGCCGCCACTGAAATCCGAGTTGTTGCTCATTTAGGTGTAATTAGAATATATGTAGCAAATATGTATATGTAATTTAGTTAAGCGGATGCAATGTTCGAACAACAAAAAAAAGGCTACGCCAAAAAAAGATTACATGGGCACAGTAGGTGCTTAACAAATAAGCTATCAAACAAGAGGCGTGAGAGGTACAAACGATTTTTCAATCGAAAAAAGTATTTGTAGCCAGTAACAATGGTGGTGCTCGGAGTGCTGGATAGGCTATTGTTCTATCATGCCTATCGGTCCGAGCGCCATGCTACATACGCGCGCACAAGCAAATATTTGTATGTAGGTAGATTCAAGTCGCCGTGGTAACATGCACGACGCGGACGCTCATCTAGTAGGCTGAAGCGAGAAAGTTGGGTTGTAACGCGTGAGCTGAACCCAATGAAGTCGAGATAGAGAAAAACACAGGGAGCCTGCTACAGAAAGAGGGGGGTAAGAAATAGTTAGCTGGGCTGAGAACTGTAGCTTGATCGATCGTTTCCCTCGGGGTATTCCTAGCAGAACGACTCTTGTTCTGACATTTCTTGCGCGGTTTCGACCGCTGGCGGGGAGCGTGATGCTTATGTTATGTCTACAAATGATACATTGGTGGGGAGTTTCTGTTCTGGCATAATTCGTTACAAAAAGGGACAAAGGAACATGGTTATAGGTAAGAAGCTGGGTTTGTATTACTCTCTCTCTCTCTACAGATATATATATATATATATATATATATATATATATATATATATATATATGTGTGTGTGTGTGTGTGATATATTGGGCTAGTCTTATGGTCCAGCAACCCGTCGCTGCGCGCATCCAAGAGTGACGGACCATAGGCGAGCGCGCGCGCAAGGAGGTCCCTCGTTGCCAAGGGCGGGTAAGATCTGCGAGGCTACGACGGAGTTGGCCCAGGTTTAATAACTCTTCGTAAAGTTGACAGATCACTGCAAAATGCGTCAACTGCTACGCATTGCTTTGTTGATATAAAAAAATATAAAATTTTCAGTAGTTATATTATCAACCAGCCTGATCTCTAATGTAATCTATAAGGCACTCAGAACATCCGGCACTTCGATATTTGAGCAATAAATAATACCTAATTATCAGGCGCTATGCCGAATGAATGTCAAAATCTCGTTTTTATATTTATTGTATATAATTTTTGTCAGGTAATGGATGAGCTAGGTCTAATAAACAAATAGGCTTGAATTAGAGCCGCACACATGAAAATGTAGAGTCATATGGATATATAGCTTCACCCGGTTTTTGATTACAATATTGCATGTTTCTATTTCCTCAAAGGAGAAAATGTTATCTTGTATTGACGTTCAACCAGCGTTTTACTCTATATGAAACAAAGATGGCCTCGCAGTGATTCAAGCAGTAACCTAGGAGAATCTTTAGTAACGGTCTAACATACCAGCTAACATATCTGCAGGTTTTTGCAGCAGGATAGAATATAGGGCGCAACGCACTAATTTTGCAGTAGCCTAAACGGATTGGGGAAGCGCCGTAACGAAATTGTACCTTTACCGTAGGCGGAAATCGTCCTGCAAAGTTAGGTTTATTGTTGCTGAAAGGAATCCGGTGGAATTATCCCCCGAGGAGTTCTTCCCGCTCTTCTCCTTATATTAGCCAGCAACTATAGATAGAATTGTTTCATTTAATCAAAATGCGTTCGATTGCTACGTCGTATACCTTAATATGGGTTTAGCTTGACCCAAAAACAACTAGGGTCATTGGGCTCAGTTTTACTTTTATCAGGAAACGATTTTCATTGCAAGTCCAAGAATTTTTCGTTTCCATTACCGATATATTGCACACGATGCGTTCGTAAGAACGCATCGTGTGCAATGTATCGGTATCGAGCTGCTGAATTCTAGTTGGACGGATCTGTATATATGTACATTATTACATGGACAAAGAGAAACATGAAGACCTCTGTATGGAAACGTTCATATTTAAAATAAAATCATAATTAGTTGACTATATTTTCTGCTAAATAAAGTGAGAGTGAGTGCTTTTCCCGCGACTCTGTTGCGAACGGCATAGAAAAACTAGGCTTGTTGTATATGAGAACTCATACCAGAAATAAGGTCTAGTAAATTTAATGCCGTATGACTAAAACACCTCATCACCAATACCTCGGTGTTTAATAATCTGTTTCGCGTAGCTCTGGGCATCATAATTCAGGCAGTGACAATGCACTGCTAGTATTAACAAGAGATCCCTTTGTCCCTTTCGGGATCGTTGAGCTCACAAAGAAAGATATGTAAATACTGAATAGTGGCAATAACTGCGGCTTCCAATCAGCCAAACAAGCGTCGTTACTTCGACTACACGACCCTAAAAAGTTGTCTTGGCAGTGATGAGCTTTTCTAATTAATAGAAACTGTACGCGGAGATAGAAATCAACAATGAGAGAACAACAATAAGGGTCAGTACGGCACGAGATGGCAGTCCTTGAGATCGGCGTAGACCGATACCGTTTTGCCCCACCGCTCTGGCGGTTTAGGTCTGATACAGCTCATTTACAAAGACTATACGATAGAACGGCTTATTAATGTTAATTACTGGTCTGAGCTTGACAAAACTGCTTTCGCTGTTTAGCTTAGCAACTCTTAAGCGATAGATATTACCGTTCGAACCTTCAATACTCATCGTTCTTTTAGACTTTGGTTCGTGTACAGGGTCAATCACTGCTTATTGTACCGATACTGAATAATATACGGAAGTCCTTGAAGCAATCCGAGCTATGAATAGAATTTTCTTACATGTAACGTTACTGAAGGCTCACCCGATAATAGTTCTTGTTACATGATGGCAGTTATTTATTTCAAGAGCCAAAATGCTTCTCTGGCATCAATTAGACCAATAGATATCTATGCTAGCCTAAAACTATTGAATAGCTTAAAAAGTAGTTTTCCTTTTTCAGCCCTTCTAAACACTGCTAGCCTTTAGGGAAAAATTAAATCTACCCCATTGGCTTTCTTACACCGACACCGATGCGGCTGCTCGTAACATTGTCTTGATCTATTTATCCGGCAAATATTTCGTATGCATCTTTGATCGTCGTCATTTCAACGATGCTTTCCCAGCAGGATAATGAATAAAATATCATATATGCAGCCCTTGATACTTTGTCTTCGATCATGTAGGACACTGCTATTTGCGAGCTCTGTTAAAACGTAATCTCTGTAGCAAACGTGGGCCAGGTCAGACAACATTCGCCTTAAAACAAAAAGATCTAAAAATTGCTGAAATCGCTTTCTGACCGATCTATTATATCTTATTCAATATTAAAGATAAACTTTTGCTTGTTTGCAATAATATATATATATATATATATATATATGTGTGTGTTATGGTCCGGACCAGAGAAGGCCCAGCTGAAAATTGACTTTATCATAAACGAACCTGGGAAGCGTTCTTAATATTATTTTTTTTTTTATGGCAAAGTACTATGCGTAAAGAACTAAGCAAATCCGGTTTACGTCTTCACAACAGTTGCTTAATAGACAAACCGACCAGTTTGTGTGAAATATGCTCCCAAGTGTATAGGAAATAATCTTTAGTACTTGTATATACGAGCTATTTGCAGCTAAATCCCCTAAGTCGCTATGAAACAATTTCATTGTTGGTCTGAGGTTATATCGGTGTATATCTCTCTATGTCGGACGTAGGGTGCCACATATCAGTACAGATCTACATTGCCTCAGGGAACACCGTTCGTTGTGGGACTGATGTTCTTCGATCGGTACCGCCTTAGCGGTCTGCGAATTTAGCAAACTCAGAACTATGAGTAAGAGGCACACTTGCGGTATGGCCGATTTGTAAGCCAATACAGGCTGGTATGACAATAAAGGAGACACAAAGAAGAAACGACGGTAGGACTAGCTTGGTAACTTGGCTGGGTGATCAATCAAAATAGTACAGGGTTCTTTATATCAAATTTACTTTGTTAGAAGCTTTCATCTACGTATGCTCACCGTAACGGTATCGCACGAATTTCATTTTTAGAAGTGCTAAAACGCTAGGATAAAACAAAAAAAATAAAGAAATTGTTACCAATATTAAGCGTCTGTCCAAGACCATTTTCGACGAAATATAGAGTCACCAGTAATTCGTATACTACTCTGCAAATAAAAGAAACGCAATAAATCAATGAGTTATGGATGGGAATCGAACGGTAAGGACACTTCTCTAACGATGAACATAAAAAAAAATGAACATTTTTCGAGGCGCGCCGGCACTACGTTTCTTCTAGGACGTTATCGTGTTCAATATCAAACTACACTGCACAAGCTGCTGCTCGGCCTGAATAGGCTTGCATCTTTAGGAACATTGTGGACCTTTATCAGTTTTCCAAAAAACAAACTATGAACAGAAAGAGACTGCCATCACGAAAGCGTACTTGCGCAACCGCTCTATGCTACTTCAGCAAAGTCTCTCTATTTAATCATGCCAATAAAAGCTCCACTTTGATTTTGGCAAACGCACATCACGAAAGCTACTTGGGCCGTGATATTGCTTCCGTTTCCAACAGATTCTCCACCTTCCAAGTACCCAAGCCAAATCGACGTATTACAGGTATAAATCACGATACATGCAGTGACGTACCACACTACCGATACAGCACGCCATACCCTCCCGCTAGTGTTACTTTTATCGCATTACAGCGGCGGGTAAGGGCGCCTGCACGTGCATGCGCACGTCGCCTTCAGCTCCGTAGTTAAGTGATCCTTTGATGTGAATAATTATTTTTTAGGACTTGAAAAGGAAAACTAAATTAAGTAGAATAAGCATCTTGTGCTTTTCCGTTCGCTAGGTTGTCAATCACGCGCAAAGCCCTATCAGCGTAAAGTGGTGTAACACATCCCTATCATCGAAGACAATGTAATGTCACATTTAATCGTTTGTTAACGAGAGAAACTTACCGTAAAAGGATCTCCATAGCGGCTTGGAATATTCACGCTTTACGCCATCTGAAGACGTGGTCAGCTTCATGACTTCAAAGACCTTGACAAAGACCGCTCCTCGATCGTTTATTGGCCGGCCGCCCTCTCCCATCACGGGACCGCCCACACCAATCAGCGTGTTCACGGATACTCATGGGGGTAGTCTGACGGAAGCACCCGAACACTGATGGGGATTCAAGATAGATATGCGTTGTCCAAGGATTCAAAGAGTCGCACGAATGATTACCCCCCTTCAAACCAACTTCATTCTCTCTCGCCTTGAACATAAGCCGTCGTCGAGGGAAGCCGATCAGGCCAAACCTGGTCGACATTTCGCTCGATGGCGATAGTGTCATAGATGGTCCCGGCACCCCCGGTCATGCATGCCCTACTTGTTGAAGACACTTTCCACAGTAAGACAGGATCGACACATGGGCGACCTCAGCGAGAACGGAGGGATTCTCGAGGGAAGAAGTACGAGTAGGGGGAAACGGTCAGAGTGGCCGCTGCAGAAGCGTTACGCATACTTGGCTTACATACTCGATTCCATTTTAAAATTAAGAAGGCGACCTAATTCAATTCGCAACACTATCACGCTCGTTCCTATATAGGAAAATCTTATACGTCTAACAAATACATTTCGAGCACATGCAGTCGACAAAAACTTCAATTGCGGCATTTGTAATCGACCGTGGTTTAGGTCGAAACAAAGTTATAGGAGGAAGCGCATGAAAAATATAAACGGAAAGTAAAGGATAGATTTTCCAAGCTATTTAATGCCCCCTAAATATAAAAGTCAAAGAAATCGACAAAAAGGGAAACAACAAATTGCTTGCCTAAATTGGCTTTGGTTCATAAACTAAGATTAATTTTATTTACTTTAACAAATAAATTAGTTTGCGCTAATAATGGCAGTTGATTTTATCATACTTAATATACGTGATCACACTGTAATACCAAGAAATAGATCGAATGCTATCTACTATCTTGTCTACTTGTTCGTTCGAGGTATTTCAGTGTTCCCCTTTGCTCTCTAAATAGATAATTATGCCCACCATGCTCGATTTACTTTTCTCTGGTTTTTGTTTTTAATTATTGGGTGGTACCGTCATTCCTATGCTGCTTAAGTAGCCCTGACACCCTTGAGAGTAGTCATATCGAGCAAACATCTCATCTTGCTTATATGACTTATTAACAGTGTTTACTAATAACCTATTGAGAATACCTATCTACATTTAATTTAACAAAGTTCATCTTTAAATCTCCATCACATTCTATACAGGTTATCTGTTCAACTTCGTTTATTCAAAAAACAAAAAAAAAAAAGTAACTTTGGAAAATTAAAAAGACAAGTGTCATTGTAGCGCTTAAAAATATATAATTTAGTCAGGTGGCACGTCTATTACAAACAATCACAATAAACATAAAAACAAATAAATAATAAAGACATTATTCTTTCTTTGGAACATTTCGCAACGTCCGCGATCTGATACTGCCGTAAATTGATATTAAAACGACAAACCAATTTGACTTGGCTAAAACAGGAAATAAAAGTACCATTACTCATAAAAGCAGTATGTCTACTGATTTCTATCTTTATAGTTAGAAAGCAAAGAGAATAGGCCAGGTAGATATTTCATAGTACTCTGTTTAGCTTTTCTAATTGAGCGCTAACACTATATAAACTAGACTATTATTGCTACCTACTAACAATGTCTTCATTTATATATACATTTGGTATATACCCAGCTTTTGCCAGCTTAGGCAACAATTGTGGGACGGCTTCATTTTTAGGCCACTCTTATGCTAAGGGTACGGTTGCATTGGTATGGTTACTATGGCGGAGTTTCGTTTCCCGCGCGGGGGCTCGGACCGCTAAGCCTTTGACAGAAAGAGCCTACGAATTGCTGCTTCAGGTTCTCCAAGCGACCTGTTTCACATAGCCTGTATGAATAAAAAAAATCCATTTTCAAGTGACCATGTTCGTATCTCTTCTGTACACCTAGGACCTTTCTGCCCTGTTACCCTACCGTCTGGACCAATGTAGCATCGACTGTGACATTACTAAGCTTTACTATAGAAGCCTTATGATGTGCTCATTATATACAATCATAGATACGCTGGCCTGCCCTCGCATCGTACAAACGTAAACGCTCGCAGTGTTGGTACCTTATGTGCATCGCACCATGCTTCCAGTGGTCGAAGACTTCCGACATCTATGAATTTACTTGTGCAAAAAGGACGTATTTAAAGGAACTGTCGCCTGACATACAATATAGCGGCACTCTGCTAGATCTTTCTAGATCATTAATAACGTATAGGAAATCTGTCATTTTAGATGAACCTTAGTTAGTTACTAGTCGTTAGTTAGGTACGCTGTAGAAGTTAACTTCCATTAATGGTATTTTGTCAGTACGTTCGTACAAGTGAATCTCGAGGACTGCAGAGAGAGAGAGGGGGCCGTAGAGCTGAGACCACGTTAAGGCTGACTAACTGACAAAAACTATGTCATGATGGACGCTGTCGAACTCGCATTTGCGATTGGTGGCCAGGAAAGTACAGCGCGGGCTTTTATGCATGGATTTGAAAATCGTCTAATTTGATCTACGTTTATAGCTGAAGCCGAACCGATTTCGCCTACGTAGTTCGTTGTTTTCGTGGTCCATGGATATCTAATGTAGTGATAATTCTTATACCTGCTTAGAGCAGATACAGTGAAGTCTATCGTCAAAGCTACATTTTGTGCAATTTTGTCTAGTGTAAGAAAGTCGTTAGTGTAAAGGTGCCGATGTCGAGATACGACCCATATTGTATTCATTAGAAGAACAGCTTTGGGTTTCGTCAGCGTAGCCTGACTCATTAACAGTTTCGGAGACGAGCGGAAGTGGGTCTGTTTTCTTGACACGATGTACGGTATTTTACTAATTATTATTTCGTTATAGTCATTTGAACAGTATTGCTTAACAGAAAAGCGCACGGAGCTTGAACGGGAGCACGTCCATGACACTCGCAGGAACTCTTTAGTTCGGGAAGCTTTTGAAACATCTTCGGAATTAGGTACATCTTGTGGGATGCAATGCTCCGAATTTTTTTCTCATCTGACATTGATCAAAGCCATCTCTCTAATCAATTGTGTCTTTTGCTTATTAGCGAGGGAAGGGTGTGGAAGCACCGTTGAACAAGAAATGCAATGATTCAGCATGTTCATGAAAGCCTCAGGTACAAATCTATCGTGGACAAAAGCCTTCTAAGGACGATAAAGCCAAGCAACTTAGTCCATGTCATTTGTTCCCGAGTTTTCTTCATTACAAACCAGCAAACAGTCGTTGATTCTTTAGCAACGAGAAAATGGATGCAAAGATCAATTGAAGGATCCTGAAAACGTCCCCATTATGGATAAAGCTAAACCAGTATCCACGTTCCAAACGCCCTATTCACTTAAGGAAACACCATGCCACCACACCTGTATTTAAAAAAAAAACTTGTCCATTCCCAAAAAACTCTATGGATGGAAAATAGGTGGCTGCTATATAGAATGGTGAATTACACGCCTTTCAGCAAAATGGCACGCCGCTGTCCAAGAATGTCCTTTACCAAGGACTACGACAGCCCCGCGGTCCAAACCTTGTATCTGATTTACCTAGAGTTGATTGTGACCCTTAGGGAAGCGTTTAAAACATGGAGGGGCATGTTCGAATAAAAGATTCGTAGTCGGTATAGGCTCTGGGTTGAAACCGTGATCGAAGCTCAGTGATATTTGCCAAGGCTATTTTTTTTATCGGTGCAGGGAAACAATGTCTTTCAAAGATATTTCCGTGTCTAGGTGCGATTAGAATAGAGAATTTATTCTGGTTCTATTTGAAATTATAAATTGTGTGTAATTGTCTCGGAACAGTCATCCCAGTTTTAAGCATCACGTTCCCTCATTTTTATGTTTTCCTTGCCTGAAAATATCGCTGAGCTCAAACGAATCGAATTCAGTCTCCTCAATGTCAATCTGCACACTTTGTACGCGGAGTCCGATTCATTACTGCTTAGCTTCATGTTAGGGATTGAACATTAACGAAGTCTAGGTAGAGACCTGATCGGTCATCGCTATAACCTGCAGGTTGCCCTGTTATCCTGATCCATGATCCATATTGCGTGCACACTGTCCTTACACTGGTTTATGCTGCCGTGTTACAGTTAGGCCATTATCACAGGCTGAGTATACATTTCTCTCATTGCAGTTCCGACATAAAAGCCGCTAAGGAAAAACACAACGGATTTTATAGAATTTTTATTCACACCAAAACTAATTCTAGTTTAATCGCAGCTCTCCCATCCTAGTTTCCCTATCAACTTCTTCGATTCCGCTACATCAAGTTACGTCAGCCGTTGTTCTTCATGTCACAGTTTCATTTGTATTTTATAAATTATCGACAACTTCGTATAAAAGGCCACTGGGCAAGGGATCATTTTTGTCCAACCAAACTTAAAACACCACAGCAAAATAAAATAGAGCTAGCCAATGTTTACTTTTTTTTTTTGAATGAGCCATAGGTCAATATGTCTATACTTATAGATGTACACAGCTACGCATGGCATTACAGTATAAAGTTAAATGAAATTGTCAACGTTTACAAATTTCCAACAATGCTACAACTTTAATTTACACGATACTAAAAACAATTGCGTTGTAATTACAAACAAAATAACAACTTTTATAAGGTGCAGCATTTCGAAACGTATGCTAGCAAAGTTTTTTTTTTGTACTTTCTTTTAGTGATTCAGGGACACATTATTAGAACCAACAATTCGTCTTGGTCCGTCTACAACCTGAGTCATTCCAAAGCCAGAGAACAAGTAAATACTGTCAAAGTGGAGAAGAACAAAGGAAACTTCATTCGACACTATCTTTTGCACGGACGACGTCTGTCGAACTGATCCTTTTTTAGGACATTGTTGATTGTAGTTTTGACTATGGGGAATTAGTATCTTCTGGCTGGATAATTGTAGGGAATGAGATCGGTTCTGTTCGGAAATCCAGAATAACCTCGGAAGGGCGTGTTTGAGGGTTCGAAACCGTAACCCGATTGACCACCTTTTCCTGCGCCAGGACCAGCGCCTCCAACTTGTGCGCCATAATCGGTATTGTAATGATCTTTGTCTGAGTAATTCGTCTTTCTGAACAAATTGTCCTTGAAATCTCTGGGGCCGATACGCTGGGGTCTCCCTGTGAATTCAGAAAGAACCCGTGGATAGATAGGTGAAATCATTAGAAGCTCTTTTTCGGGTGTTACTTTTCCATCACCGATCTATCTACTTATGTTAATTACTATAAATCCTGAAAAACCCATTTATCCGATCCTCGGAGTAGGGAACTTTTGCCCCGGTCAGCGTGCCGTATCGGAAGATGAAGCCGATAGGGCAAATATTGTTCCCCTGGAAAGAAAGTTTACCTTTTCGCCTTAGGCTGCGATCTCAGTCTGGTTGGTTGTAGATTAAGCTTTTGCTTGCAATCCACGTTTGAAAATAATGTCATATCGCTGTTTATACATATCGAGGCCATTGCCACCACTTGTTATTAAATAAACAAAACTTCTACGAAAATAATGCTACGTGAATAAGTGTGGTCATACTGTGTTTAAACAACGTTACGGAAAAAGGTTATTAGAAAAGAGCTGGCCGCTGTTCGAAACTAGCTTTCTATCAAACAATAAAGCCTTTCACCTGTACACAGGTACAATGAAATCTACAGGCGCAGAGCGAAGCCCGCGTGTTTATCTAAATGCAAAGCGTTGTTTCATAGAAATGATTGTAAAACAAAAGATCGTGTGCCTTTTTCTCATATTTACAATACTCGAAAAGAAATTGTTCGAAATATGAAGCAGGACCGTGCCGTACCTCCGTTGGGGTCTCGAAGTTCGCGTCTCTTTCGAAATATCTCGAGGGCTAGTAGTGTAAATGAAACGAGAAAACCGACACCCAATATCCAGAACGAACCCTCCATATGGGCAATTGTAATTCGTCGAATATCCCCGGCTTGAGGTTTCGAATCGACCGTGCACTCGTTCTCTTTGGGCCAATATTTCTTCTTCCAACGGATTATTAGGCCTGTCTCAACTATCCGAGTTAATCTGCAAAACATCCGAAAGAACGACTCATTGGGGAGATTGATACATGTTAAAAACAGTAATATCGTTAATTGTGGAGTAGTATTCGAAAAGTTATTCTAAAAATCGGTTATATATAAAGTTCAACTCACAAGGTATTGAAACGAGCGAGGAATGGAAATCCCGGACGGACCGCGAGAACTTTAACTTGTCGGATAATCTCTTTTTTGGCTACTGCGTACTGGCATAAGTTTGTAGCTATAAACTGCTTGCCAATGTAATGAAACAGAGTCACTTCGGATCCTATTAAAGCCATCTTACCATCAGCAACTTCTTTCAGTGCCCAACTTTCATGCGCCGTCTCAATATGGGCTAATTTAGCAGACAGTTGGGTTAATAGCCCTTGTTGCTGGAGCTGTAACGGTTCCATACAAACGTAGTTATAAAAGAGCCGCATCTTTAGCCCAATGTGATCCCAGTTTATTTGTAGAAAAAAAAAAATGTTTATTGACTAGCAGTAGATAACAGAAGATACTAACACGAAATACGGGCTTGCTAAGCCTTTGACTCAAAAAGCATACCGATATTCCTATTTGGGTCCATGCGATGTGCTTTTTATATATCCTGTAATCACAATATACTAAATCCGTATGTTAGAGCCAGATTGATATGTATATAAGCTATCGAAGGTTTGTGTTAGTACTTTGCGATCAAATGAAAGCTGTTTACTATGAAAAAATTAAACGTACCTTGAGGATCTCGATAACTGCGTGACCCTTGAAAGCGCCCCACGTGATGTCCGAATTCAGTAGCGAGCTAACGGTATCGTACGGATTTCGAATCTTGGGGAAAGTTAGATCAGCGACGAGATTGCCGGAGTAAGTAGTTAGGGTAACAATTACAAACAGCCACCAGAACCCAACGAGTATACGGCCAGAGATAGCGTCAGGAAGATGAATGCCGCCTGCAACAGCAAGACCAGTGAGAACGAACCCATCGCGAAGCAGGGGCAGATGATGCTATTCAAATTGCTAAATAGCAAGTACCTTGTTGTATAATGGCTCCAAAGCAGTACCATTCGCAGTTGGCTAACTTGAAGAGACCTTTGCCGTCGCGCATGTCGTAGTAGTCATAGAACTTGGAGTTAATATGAACACACCATAGGATAGGACCGATGATTAACACAGTTCCCAGCACGGCCAACCAGGTCTGAAGAAAACGCTAACTTCAGTAGTTCGTTCGTAACTTCAACGAACGAGTACGAATTATATGCACTGATTATTCATTTTATCAACCTATACAAGCGTTAATGTATGATCGTTTTGTAGATACGAAAATCTCGCCGATGTAAAAGCTCGAACCGAGAGCGATGTATCGCTAGACAACTTAACTTAGCTGCCATTATTCCCAGCGAAGAGGCTGATGATGGATCAAGAAAACTAGCCTGACACTCTAGACAACGTACGATTAGCCGTTGCAAAATGATACTGACTGTTAGATTAAGGGCAGGCAGAGAGCAGGTACGAGCATATGTATGTAACCCTAGGCCAAGTAAGCGCTATATTTATTTTGATTGACTAGATGCCATCGTGATCTTGAAGTGTTACTTATGATAGCTATTTATTTATTGTTTGGGGGCGAGATCAGCCATACGTACATCCCAAGTGAATGGGTCGAGGAATAGATATTTGTAGTTGGGCTGCGGTTTGGGAACAAGAAACTTGTACGGCGACTCGTCGAAAGCGACGGTAAAATTAACAGCCTGTTGACGATCCGGCGTTGGCGTGAAATCATAAAGGGCTAAATCGATCTCTTGACGAACCAGCAGACCAATCAAACCCGACCATCGGCCATCGCTCTGTTTCAAGCCTGGTACAGGCTCCGGAGGCATGATGAACGTGTATCTATAAAGCATTTGTTCTACCTTATTTAGAGTTGTTTAAATCATTACTTCAAACGATCTATTCATTAAATACATAATTCTAATGTATAAAAATGACAATTTTATGGATCAGTCTAAGCTGTCACCTAGGGAGGATCCCACATCTATCGGGTCTAATAGGGATTCGATTAGTTCTAGCTGAGGCTATATTAAACAATGGAGTCACTGGAAAGAAACCACGTGATTCGCTCGTAAATCCTTGCTAACCTTTGATTAATATGGTTGTTTGAAACAAAAAAAGGTTAAAAAGCTTCATGTAGTGAGTGCACCCGGGACCTATTTCGAATGAATATTAGTCTTACTTACGTGAAGTTGAGCTTTCTCGCAAGCTCTTTCAAGAGCTCGACGAGGGTTCCGTTAACGTTGACCACCCGTCCTTCCCGAGAAGTTACTTCTGTCATAGGAGGCTCCTAGGAAGGTCGCGTAAATTTAGCGGTTTTTGTTTAATCTAAAATGGACTGTAATCATCCAGTAGAATGAAATAAACGCTAATTGAATCCTGTAATCTCACGGTACAGCAGCAGTTGATTAATTACCGCGCTGATCGAATTGAAGTTATGCTTAAAAAGAAGTTACAAGACACAACGTGTTGAAGGAGCAATTAGTATAGTTTGGAACATCGTCAAAAACAAACTACAAACGAAAACGCGAATTCATTCATTGTCGTTACCGTTTAACGTTCTTCTAACGGTGCGTATTGGTTGTAAATAATAAAGATTTCAGTATGTGACGCATACTTCGACCCATCTGAATACAACAACATAATATTTAAAGCAATGTGCTATGTATCCTCATGGCCTGATGACTTTTTAGATATAAAACTGTATACGTACCTATAAATCATGAAGATGTGTCTATATCTTTAGAGCTATTATGCACTTCAAAGAAACATTTTCTTTATTTAATGGAAAGCCGACTGAGAGCCTAGCTAGCAAAAATGATTGTGGACAGGAGAACGCACGTTAATAACGCCGATTCGAAGGTTCACTCCACCCATATCTCCAAGAAATCGTGGAAATAGCTGATAGTTGACCCGGGTCGCTCCGTCAATCATTTGAAGTCCATTGAAATAGTCCCAAACGGCCACTGGGTCAAACGTTTTTCGACCAGCCTTCACAGTCAGGGTTCGTATAGTATATTTCGCACAGAAGCCACATTGACCAGATCCACGCAATTCTTTCTATACAAATACGCAAGTAGAAAGAGTAATCGATTATCGTTATTTTTTGAGCTATAGGAGAGCAGCTTCGTCTGTCCGAGAAGATGATCAAGTTCTGAAAATATTGAAATTTAAGCTACATAGCACATCTATAGATCAAACATAGGGGCTTCCAGGCAGCGTTTTCAAGGGGGGCTATAGTCACTGACTTTTTAGCCGATGCCGTCGGCTCGATGACTTCCAGCTTCAGCCTTTATGTTGGTGAAATCTAAATAGAAATATCCCATGTATAGAAGTAATACTTTTCCTCATTTTGCTGTAATCTAACGGAAGACCATGACGATATTAAGCAAGTACCGTATGCCATGAAACGGTAGGTGGGTCAACGCACGGAGAATAATAGTGGACATATTCATAGAGTCTTTTACTGGGTGTGCTTTTTTTGATAATAGACAGAAGCAGTTTTAAGAGATACTGCTTACCTACTGCTAATAATATGTTACACCCCGTTGAGTTTGTTGGTACGTTGAGAACCGATGAGCTCTAACATGTGGATAAACGAGAAATAACTACTCAAAATATCTTACCAGAATAGCTTTTTTCACGGTATATTTATGATTAAATTTATCAACGTTCCGACCAAAAAGATCAGGATTATTCTTCACAGCATTAATGTAAGCGTTCATAGGCAGCTCAATGTGGCAATTGTCCGTTACCTGCAATGGACAAAATCAGTATTTAGCAGGCCATGTTTACATTTTCTAAAGTTAATCCCTCTCAGCAGCAGCAGCTAAACGTATCTCTACAATGGACGACATTGAATACAACCCTATGACAACCAATCTTTGACTCCATTGTGGATGGCGGTATAACGATATTTAAATCACAGATCATACCTAACCTTAAATGGCTCGACACTGAAGGTTCGACGCGTTAAAATGATCCCTAACGTTAGTAACCAGTCCCCGAATAGGGCACATGGCCTGCATAACCCTCCTCAGCTACATAATACTATTCTTCTGTTTTTTCGTTTATAACGTTCTGCTACGACATCTCTTGTGAAGATTATCTTTTCTATAGCTATTCAATTATACGACTAACCGCAAATCTGAAAATGCTCGATAGGGGCAAGTATGTTTATACAGGTATGACGTTTATCGGACCGTCACGAGAACGTCGAGCAGCGTATACATCAGCAAAATACGGCCCGTCTTCTATCCCATCGATCGTTAGTACGCCAACCAATAACCAACTGACATATTTCATCAATCACTGCAAAATGTATTGTACACGAATTGTTTCATTAAGGGTATGCAGATTCTGCCAATAGAACTACCGATGATAGACAAAACAATCTATTGTTGAAGACTTACAGGACAATCCTCATCCTTAACATCGGTCGATGCGATCGCGACATTGGCGTCGCTCGTAACTTTGTCAAACAAGAAATCTTTGACGACATTGGAGTAAGGCGTGGTGAGAATAATGAAGAATTCACGAAAAACACTAAACATCCCGTAGTCGACGCTCTGTTCAAAGAAATCCAACGCTAATTCTTCATCGCCAATTACGATAAATTCCCTATTATCCTTCTTTTTCGGGTTTGCACGATACGCATCCAGAATTCCTGTTCGTAAAGCATGAAGCAAATCGTTATCATGTGCCATGAAACAGTTTAAAAACGAATGGCTTAATAGAACCCTATGGACAATAGCTGGTGGCAAACAAGCTCCAATTCCCTATGTTTCAATGTTTTCGTCCGGCATCGCCGTTAGCCATACCCAAACACTGACGGCTGGCTAGCTGGCTCCCAGCCATCAAGAAACAAAGTGTGTCTATGCCCGGATTCGAACCTGGATCACTCCGGGTGCCCATGCCAATGCGCTCCATATAGCGGCTAGTTTTAAAACGTCATTAAGAAAATACGCTACTGGTTAGCTGGCTTGCTGGCTGTTAAAACTGCTTGATGAAAGCATACACTGACCCCTTTTAAAATTAGCCACCGAAAATGATTCAAGTCTGTGTGATCAAATCCTGGGCCGCTAAAGTTAATTGGAAGCAATCGCTGAGATCGCCAGATTACTAAACAACAACAACAGGGTACTATCGAGATCTCTCAGTTACTGTGATGGTCACGTTACACATTACGTTTAACTGTGGTTAGGACAAAAAACTTACCCCAGGACAATTGTTATTACTTTGAAGAGAAAATTCAACACAACAAGCTAACGCAGTTCAATTTCAATGAAAATGATAAGAAAACGCACGTAAGCGAGCTGAATAATCTGGGGGCAGCACTAAAGTCAAACATCTGTGTAACAAACTGGAACAGATAATGTCCTAGGTTAAGCGTCCAAGTACTGTTATCACATTTTTTTTTACCAAGAACTCTTTTCAGTGACCGTATCAGCAACATACGAGAGTAAGCAACAACGGTCACCGTGAGCTTGAGGAATTCTGGGTTTGTGCTATTTCAAGTAAATTACACTGCATGTTGTCGTATACCGAGTGCACGTAACAGCTGCACGCTTGTTAGGCACAGCCATGAGAGCATTTGAGGATGGTGCACAGGTTTATGAAGGAATATCATATACCGAAAACGAGCAGTTCCTTCAGCGGCTGTTTAGAGAAAGACGAGCCGATCGAAGGTCAGAATATAAGATCGAAACATTTTGGGAACTTGTAGATATGTTTAATTTCACTGACTTAAATGACCGAAGTACAACCTGTTGTACGACGTCGCTTCCATGAGTCTTTATTGATGAAAATTCTACTTCATGTGTAACCATGCGAAGGCTTAAATAAAGGAAATTCCCCTCAGCTTCAGCTGTTTCACTCGATGTGAAGGACTAATGCGCTGTTCTTGAGCTGAATGATGCTTGTTAGCGTTGATTTTTCGCACAACAACAGACTATTCACTAGCACAACATATACCATTATTCTATCACCATTGTTAATATATTTCCTCTATTTTACCTATGTACCGCTGCTGCAGATGGTCCCATCTGCCACAGCTTATTTAGAAGTAGTTCTGCTTTCTGAGGCCTTAGAGGCCTACCTGACTGGGAATTGGAATTGCATCAAAGCTCGATTAACGGAGTGTAGTAAAGATAGTAAAGTATTATAGCCGGATAGTTGAATACTAGTTTTAGAAACTAAATAGAAACAACACCAAATAAGCTTTGTCTCATTCATTCCGTTACTCTTTGTTTTGCAACAGCAGACTAAAGTTCCTTGCAAAAAGTTACGCACCCCTCATGGACGCAGAGTTTAATCCACACTTTCCGACAGAGCGTGCCGATGGAGGGCAATATTTCCAAAGGGCGATTGATGCCGCCGAATTGACCTGATCATTGCTGCGGACACCTTCCACGGCGCGCATGATCTGCTCCAGATATTCTCCAGCTAATATGTTGAATGCATCATTGACAAATGACGTTATACTTCCCAGCTGTTAAACATTTAAGGCAGATACCTCAGCGATTGTTGTTTTTCAAAACCTCATTCATACCGCCGTATTGTTAATGTATATATCTAGCCTTTCTGCTTTGACTCTTGGGCGAGTTATCCGGACTTTCGTGTTTGGCGTACTTGTTAATAATGAGATACACGCTTTCACGCTACTGATATCCTATGTGCCACGGCTTAATCAACAAAGCATGGGAAACTTTTAAAGTGATCTTCCATTCGTCTGCATACGTATAAGCTTCAGTTCCTTGCTCTTCTATTGGAAGAATATCAGCATAGTATTCCATGTCCTGAGGTGTAACCTGTGATGTAATTTTATTAAAAGAATAGAATTCAACATTTGGTTCTTAATCTACAATGTAGCACGTATGTTTTGCTTATCGTTTAATTACGGTCTCCCATTGAAAGATTTTGTAAAATGTTTCTTTATTACCATTAATATTATATTGATTCACATGTATGTCTATATGATGTCCTGCAGCAAATCAGAAATAACAATGTTTACTAATGAAACAATAGGGCATTTGTTAGAAGTTGTTGTGCGCAAATTGTGATTGGCGTTTCGTGGAGCACAGAAGGGCATACATTAATATCCATCGCTAGAATAAGTTTTACGTTCATACGATCAAAATAATAGTCGCTTGATATGGTTCGTTCGTAGGAAAGGACAAGAGGCATTCGCTTACAGGTCACATGCCGCCCACTGGGGCAGCTCCGGAAACGCCGAATCCACCCAATTCTTAAACCCGCGTTGAGTAAAATGTAGACGAAGTGTGCCGCGCTAGGTCACCAGGTGGGTGTTCTAGCTGTTAGATAAAACGTCTTTGAAGAAAGAGCTCCGCCACAATATGCCTGTTGTTAATTTTTAGTTTTATGTGCTCTTTGCAAACCTACAACAAGGGCCTTGATTATGTTTGAGAATCTTCCTTGTAAGCCAACATATCATTTTGGATTGATCAGCTAAAAGTAAATGTTATTTCAAAACGTAGTAAAAATCTCTAATCAAAGCCTTTGAAATCTCAAATCGAGGATACATTACAACAACTCATATGATAAACATTTGTTGTTTGTACAAGGTGTCGATTTTATCACCTACAGCCTCAGCTTTTATGAAAGTTAGGCTTCTATTCAATAAATTGGTAGAAGAGGCTTTATCTCGAGTTACAAATTGGAAACATAACTAAGGCCGACTTTTAGCTTTTTTCGTGTTTATAATTTGGCACAGAATTCCAATTGGGGGTTTAGCTTAGGCCGACATATTCCACAGTCGAGATAGATGCAATTTAAATGAACCACTCAAGACTATTGACATATAACTGAATTACTTAGGAAATTTATCCTAACATATATTGGCTATACTAGCTTGTGTGTGGCGGGTCATTATAGAAGCAATGTAAAAGATGCCCGTTAGCATAATATCGAGGTTGTATGTCGAGACTATTCACTATGATAGGGTTCCTCGATAAGGCCGCCACGGACCCCAAGTCATCCAAGTGAGGCATTTCTACCGAGCGTTAGCTAATTGAAACGTCTGTGTTTTCGTCATTTACAGTCAAAACCATTTGTCCCCTAATATATACATTTTAGACTTATAGGAATTATGTGTGAGCTACGTATTGCAGTTCGGAAGAGAAGATCGTTTAGCCAAAAGGTATATTGTCTATGTAGTTGCTCGTGAAGCTACTGCATGGTGGATAAAAGTTTTAGCAGATGAAACAGCATCTTTCTACAGGCGTAAAAATGCAAAATACATACTGTTACTTACACCTATTAGCTATTTACAATCTCGTAAAGCGCATATCCAATATACCATAGAATCTTCTATATTTGTATATTTTAGAAAATTTACTGATAAGATGTATAATTAAAGATCTGTAGTACTATAACGAGCCATAAATACGGTGCTTACTGTATGAGTACGGAACTATAATGGTGATTTCACTCCACCGGCTGAGTGGATGCATCGCTCGGAAGTCCGCAAGAATTGGTAAGACATCAGTCGGCCCCTCAGTTACGGGAATGCTGATAGCAAAAGGTTTTTTGGTTGCTATTTCCTGGTCATCTGCATCGAATCTGCAGTAATAACACGAAAAGGGCATTAGTGGGAATTTGTGCAAGTACTTAAAAAAAACTGTTCGCTAAAAAAGTTGATGCTGAACTTTTATCGGTATCCTGGCATAGAACACGCGCAATAAGCTTTGAAAAAATTTTCCGGCGCCGGATCGGTTAACCCAATGCGTACAAACAGAAATTTCGGATCGTCACAATGACGTGCTGTATTTTGAAATTGTCACGACACGCTCTACTTCTATATTAGAAATCGTGCCGTTTCTCTATGGCCTAACTTACTCACCTGGGACAAAAGGGTCTATTGAAAGCAAGAAGCATTGCAGTGGGAAATTTCTTCATCTGCACGTCGATAGCACTGTATGTGTCTTCGCAATCCAGAGCGGTCACAAGCAGGTTTAGGTTGATGCTATTCTCCGACTCCGGATTTACCCTGCAGCAATGAAATAGGTCGAGATGTTCATCTTTGCCTTTTGCAGAATTTGTCGTGTGTACGGCCATGAACGGCCTTGATCTTGACTTACTTGCCTTTCCTTTAGCTCACTAACGTCCATGATATTCGTCGCTATGAAGGAGAGGAAATGGCCCACCTCGCCGAAAGTGATGTTGTATTTGTTAGTGTTGTTAAATATGAAAGCGCGAATATCCTGCCCATCCACCTCGATTTGACTGTCGGGTAGGACCACTGCAAGCAAAGTACCATCGGCAATGAAACAGCCCGTCTGCATCGTTCTCCGACTCTAATAGAACAACATGCCGGTGGTACATAGATAAAAAGTGCGGAAATTCTATCACCGAACGAATCTTAGCGAAGTTGCCATTGGCATGCCGTTATGATATAAGCAATCTACTAAGTAAATGTTCTTGATGCATATTCACAGTTTACAGTACGTTACTGCTGGCGCCCTCTTTTACGTCAGTACCCTTCGAACAATACCTTGGAATTGTGAGGATTCATTCACAAGCAGCAAATAAGATCACCATAGATTGTGGTTCGTGTTGTTAGCGAGAGATGCGTTTTAAATGACTTCAATTTAATTGGAAAAAAATTACTCGAACACTGAAACCGAAAGCACTGTCGCAACACAAGAGAGTTATTGGCCGAGAAGGGGGTACGGCCGTTCATGTGACTCAGGCAAAGTCTAGTGATTGAGTATAAAAGCAACTTTTTTTACCAAACCCTGGCCCTTTCCGGTAGCGGGTTACTAAAGGAGATGCGAGAAGACATTTATTTTTTTCGAGTTTTCTCGACCGAATGCATTGGAACCACAGAATAGAAGATAATGCCTGTTTCGCGCCGAGATCAATTTGTAACCAGCTATAGACGATGCCTATCCCGATGTAAGAAGCTCATGAAAAATGATCAGTTCTCTTGGGGTTAAGCGGTCAATACGCGGCTATTTGGTGTACCGTATTATATCATTGCATAACTGGAGATGATAGGTAGCGCAATCTAATCAATTGTAACAATATTAGTTGGCCAGTTGCTTACCAGCTTTGATTTCTTCGCCATATGATCTCCATCCACCTACGAGTATGGCGAATACGAAGACTCCTAGCCACATCTTCACACGCCGGTGAGTGACGCAGCTTTCCAAGACTTTGCTCTTTTCCGATTAATGGAAACGCTGTCTAAATCACTATCTTCCCCGAACAGTTCACGGACACATGGTATCCCCACTGGCTCTTCTGAGGCCACTTGCAAATTAGTTACATTTGATTTATCGACGAGTGAATGAAACTGACGATCAGGATGGTGCGTCGTGCCGTTTCGTTCGGCGGAGAGTCTGCTGCTAGTTGTTGTTGGCGCCTGAATAACACTGAAATTCGGCCATCAAGACGTAAACAGCAGTGCCACGATGTAGTTCTGATCGCCCCCGGCGCCGCTAAAGCTAACCAAGCGGCCCCAGAGGGCGTCTTGGCATGGAGGCCGGGCCTGCCGGACGGCGCCGCCTCCTACAGAAAGGGTGAGGGTTCTCCTGAAAGTTGGTCAACTCAGTGGACAGCGGGAACCGATACGGCTATTACTACATCAGCTCAACTCAGACATGATAAATAGCAACCCATCACTCATAGCAACAATTAAGCTTGGCGTTCATCTTTTGAACGACGCGCGCACAACCCCCGGTAACACGCGTCGGCGCCGACGGACGAGGCGACCGGGTTGCCGCTGCCTCAAATTCGTCGAACCGCAAGGATCAGCATACGCGATCGACAAACGTTTGTGCGCACTAATGAGCCAAGGTTGGCCGCATTTAGTGGTCGAGAGGAGACACCGTATCCTCTTATTTAAAAGGACTCTGTTTCGCGTCATGGATGAATGCACCCCTATAAAACATGCACATCGCTATGCTTTGCTGTTTGGGCGCAAGGGGACGCTACCAGCCCAGCAGCTGAAGTCGAGCAAACAATAGCGCGAAAAAAATCTAATCAGACCGAAATGACATATTGAAATTTTAACCAAATTAGAATACGGGTGTAGATTCGTTAGATGGTAGAGATATAGCCCGTTTAGCCCTGGCTCACATTTAAACCTTACCATGAGTGAACGGATACCGAACAATCGATATGAGGAATCGCAGTGGCTTTATTTGATACTGAGCGAAGCGATAGTTCCTCCGAACAGGGTTCCGCGCCACTTTTTGGCTATTCACAGTAGAAATCGAGTGTTCGAAGAAAGTCAATCGTCCATAGTACTCTAATTGTGCTTAAAAAGTGTTTCCTTTGCAAAAAAGGTTCCAGCTTACGCCAAAAACGATACGACAGTTATCGTAGATAAATGTGCCATAGGTCATATTTAACCGAACAAACCCTCTCTGAGAGAGCAACAAAAAAGTACCTTAAATGTGCTATTTATTTAACAAAGGATAGGTTCATACCTAAGTAGAGTAGGTTTCCACAAGATATAATAATGATCCGAGTTAGCATAGTGGGTTGCTTGAGGGGGCTAAACCTCTAAGCAGCGATCCATCCCTCATTGCTACGCAATACGGTCGCGAGCATTTTACTGCGCATCCTTGTTGCATAAAACAACGTATGTTAATAGTTGGTTACTTTCCCATGTATATAGAGAACGATTCTAGCTTTTACCATTTTTTTTCCAAAAATTTAGAGTAGAGCAATAATAATACAAAAATAATCTAAGTTTCGTTAATTTAACAAAAAATCAAAACAAATGCCAATAGGTGATTACTACGCTTTCTGTCGACTGGGAACTGATTTCGGAGCTGAAGCATATCTATGTAGGATAGGTGGTGGGATGTCTATGGTCGATGCTGGTCGTAAGGCTCGACACATAGAGAGTTAGCCTGAGCATGATAAACACAGAATATTTCTTGCTCTGTAATACAGAATCGATCGTGGCTATTAGCCAAGGCGTTCTGGAGACAGCCCCTCATCGTTGGGATTGCTAAACGTATCAATAGAGTACAGAAGGACGCAAACACGCTGCCGTCAGATCTGCCGGACTGGTGTCCTCCGTCCCCTTAGCCGTTATATATTTTTATAAGTGTAATTATATTAATTTTATTGGGTGAGGCATACTTACGTATAGAACCGATAATTTGTTTGCCTCTGAAACGGTTCAATTAAATGTTTTGCATGCGCTAGAAGTACCGTTACCGACTGTCACGTCATGTAATGTAACGCTTATTCAACGGGGTTATAATTTCAATTGCGGGCGGGTTAATCGCTCACGGACGTGTTTGAAAAGTTCCCTTTGCAGTGTGCGAATGCCCCCCATATGTTGAAACACGACTGGGCTGGCCGACGTTTTCATGTCGAGGCCTGTTATGCTTTCCATGCATAGTACACCGACGTATTCGAACCGAGCTGTTCCGCGGCCATAGGCGCTCGATTCTGAATATGTTTGTATTGTGCTGATTAGCCTACACGAACCGGTGCACCAACCTCTCGTTGGACAACTCAGCTATTTAGGATTACGCAACAGTCTGTAGAATATACAGATCAACTTGTTTATTAACACGTTTGCCCTTCTAGAAGGAGTAAAGTGGTGTGGTGTCTTTTTTCAGTGGATATCGGAACGTAAATTTTAGCCGAAGGCTCGCTTCCACCTGCTAAAAGCATATCTTTTTAGGATCGTGAGTAAGCTACCGATAATTTTGCGGTTAGTACGAGAATAAAATGTTTCTCGTCACAGAATAATAAAAGGTGGCCCTCTCTCTCTTTCTCTCTCTCATTCTTCAGAGAATCGAACAGCAAATAATACTAATCAAACATCCTGGTAATAATCTATTTAATTTTTATAACGTATAGTTAAAATCTTCATAGATATCCCGTAGTATTGTATGCGCACCTACGTCAAATTTCTTCACAAACGATTCGACGTTAACAGAAGAATAACCTGAAATGCACTTTTAGAGGGCATCGATTTCCTTTCGAGTCCGTATCATTGTTTCTGTGTAGTGGATTTTCCTTGTCCTGCGCTGGAACCTGGTTCTGCTTCTTTTTCAGCCGTATGTTCATATGCGACTCCGTGCATAGACGACTGGGAACAACACAAAAAATATATGATCTTGTTGAAGTTTCGCCCAACGTGAAGAGATCGCTCATGTGCAGATCTTCGCTGAAATTTTGAAAACAATGCACTGTAGTTCGTTATGACGCGTTTGTTATTTTGTTGTAGAAAAAATTCACTTTCATATTAACAGCACTAGGGAACGAGTGCATGCCCGTTATGACAAATAGCCCACCTGATTTTTTCCCAGCTTGAACGCACCGTCCTGAAGTTTTACGAACTGGATTCTATTCGATTCAAGACTGCCTGTTTCGGAATGAACGGTTTCGGGAAGCCCAAAGAGTTGCATTACTTGAGAAAACCAGCTGGGTTAACCCATGTAACTATGATTGGTAGAGGTGACAGGCAACTTACAACAGGCTGGCCCATCTAAACTAGGAACTTTTCTCATGATTTCTATCTGAGAGTCTATTTAAACAAGCACAGATATTTCAGCAAACTTTTTTGTGTGTGCTAACAGACTAACTACATGTTGAAGCCAGGCGACCGACTAGCCATTTTCAAAATATGTTGTGTCCGCAAAATCCGCAAGTAACGTTTTACTAGTAAACGTACATCAGGCGAAAATGGTAATCAGCCTTCAATCAGCTTGTACTCCTATCAAATGAAGTTTTTTTAAAATGAAGCTTAAGGGTAGGAGGTGCGTTAGCTTGTAAGCATCGGGGAAAAGTCCGACATAATGCTAAATGCAAGCACCCTGTTATTCTTTTCCGCCCTAAGCATTCATTTTGCTGCAATAGTAAGTCCAACAGTATTACATAGGAAGTCAGAAAGCGTAAAATTGGGAAGACTTCACATTACCTTTAAGAAGCACCTTCAAAGATAGGCTATTCAAAACAGATATTAAAGATAGGCTAAACATAAAAACAGCTGTTAATTTCCGTATCGAAAAGTTCAGTCAGAAATGTTCTTTATGCCATTTTAATAGACTTTCGCCATGCGGTAGAGAATAGTTGACCCTTTTTGCATTTGCAAATTCAGGCCTTTTGCAATTGCAATGGCCAGCTTGCGGTCTTGTTCTAGCATGAGCTGTCTTTTCTTTTAGTGTCAATAATGGCGAATGGACACACAAAGTTTGTTCGAACTTGTAGTACAGCTTAATTTGCTGCCCCTATTTAACGAACTTGAGGCTTGAACATGCTCAGACAAAGCCGTTGATCTCCAAAGCACGGAAAGTATTTTTTTAAATTACTTGGGTCCTACCTTTAGCTCATTGCACTGACCCATTTTGTCAAAGAGGGTGTCGTCACGTTCGTTATTTGTGATACACTATACTTATTCCTACACGTTTTTGGGGATACTGGGCGTGAAGGAACCTTTAAAATTTGTATGAAATATCATGCACCAATGTAAGCTAAAAAAAATGAATTTCCGCAAGACAAAAAAGAGTTGTTTAAGTGTGACAACTCACAAATGGATCATCTTCAACATTATATAGCATACAAAGGGACATTGAACTCCGCTAGAATAGCAAGGTGTGCTTCTTATGTACCTGATAAAGTTTACATTTTTTTCGACGAGTTTTTTTTGGCCGACACTTCTTTGCTTCGCTTCTATATAGAGGATATACACTCAACGGGTGCAAGCACGTCATCCTCACACAACGATCTCAGGAGTTGGCAAGTTACTGCGCATCCTGTGTTTTAGACGGACACACCGTACCTAGAAAAATCGCTAGGACACTAGTCGATTTATATTTTACGACTTCGAAGGCTTGTCTCTGTCAAGGAGGAGGCCTTGTTCACCTGGTTGACTTAAGCGGTTATTGTGGCAGTCAATGCGATATAATAATCATAACCGATTTGAACGATCATTGTTCGGCGCACTGGTAAAAGAGAACCATTTGTGAATTGCAAATGCGTCTCCATTTTGAACGGCCGAAGTATCCCGCAAGTTGCGCAGATTCGTTCAGGCACGTGGCAGGAATGAAACTGGTAACTTCAAGAAGTGAAGCCTGTTCATTCTAAATAATAGGAACGAACAGCGGGTAAGTTCAATTAAAGCTTTTCGTTTCCTCGCCTGTTAAATCTCCAAAAGTGTACAGCCCTGCATGCTTGTCGCCCATGCCCCTTAGTGAACTACTCAAGATAGCACTCAAGCGAAATTCTCTCAGCATACCGTAGAATAAAACCTCGCTAGGTCGCTGTATGGTACCGTCATTATGTAGGGATCTACATATGCTGTATAAAGCAGGTCAACAAGTCAGGTTGACAGATAGGCATTTTAGGCTCGAGATGGGATTTCAGAGATCACGTAACTATCGTACAAACTATTGTATAAGACAAAAATTACAACATTTGAGATGGCACTACAATAAAACGGTAGATCTATATGCATCACTCAATTCGTCAGACGGGAAATATGTTTGGTCGGTAAAAAAGGTCTTTCGAACACTTTCATACAACCAGCAGTATCTAGACATGAGAGCATACTTTTGCAGCAAAGTTTAATCAAAATGCCCGTAATAGAAGACGTGAGCAGTTCACTGGGGACTGAGTACATGAGTTCAAGTTAGACATTCAAAAATCGCGTGCTGCGACACCATAATCCCGGTTGGGATACAACAACCCGCAACACCCGGTTGGGCGATGGTTGAGTGGCAATATGACTACTCTCGGAGGACCTGTCAATGCTGGAATAAGCACCTTTGTTTCGTATAGGAGGTCATCCGTCTGACGTAATACTTAGATAAGTGACGAAGAACATCTCGGCTCTTGTCGCCAAGATCAAGCAATAGATACTCTATCCTTGAAAAAAAAAAAAGAGAAGCTACTTAGTAAGCTTCTATAGGATACTTTTTATACTTCCAGCAGCATCTTGAGATATTGATATTGGCCGTCTGGCACAAAGCAACAGTTGTACAAGACATAATGAGGTACTACTGAAGGTGTATGTACAGATGAAACGTGTACGCGTAATAATCATAATAATAGAAAAAGTAAAATCCTTAGCTTAGTAAATCTCAATTTGTACAAACTGAAAAAAAACCACGTATGGTAAAACGCTGCAAATACGTTTTTCATACAACTTTCTCCGTTCGCAAGTTATCGTACCATACATTTAAATCATGAATAGGAATAACCATTTTAAAGAGTTCCTTCTTTAAGAACTCGAGAAAAACTCTAGGACCTTTGTGGCGATGAAACCTTTTGTTAATGAGAATACTCAACATCGTTTAGGGGGGGGGGTAATTATCCAATATAGTTGCAAGTCGATACTGTCACCCACACAAAACACGTACTGCTCCACTTTCAGCTACCTTTAAGCCGCTGTATGATAGAAAGGGACTAATCTGAGACTTTTCCAACAGACCTATAACGTATGAAACGGCATGGCAAACATACAAGCAGCTACTAACCTTGATAACAATACCTTATTTTCTTGAAGTTACTTTTTCTCCCTAATTCCCTATTTACCTCATTACCAATTGCTAGCAGTAATTTTCACCGACGCGTAGCAGCGTGGTTGTAAGTTAAGAATTATTATCTCAACAGATGAACAGCCATTATGTGTATCTGGGTGAAATTATTAAACAAAATTATTAGAATTTCTCACGAAGGTTCATATTTCCAGAAATATGCAGAAAGAAGAATAGCCGGAAAATTCTACCGAGATATCCAATACTGCCTTCAAGATGAGACTCGATTTTTGCTACAATCAGGTTTTTGTTGTCGATATATCTTGCGAAGATCACCGAGACGCTGTTCTGGCTAATGTTACATGAATTAGGTAAGGGTCGGTTCGTTATGAGGTGTCAGCATCGTCTACACATCCGAATTCGTGTCTAACCAGATATTCCTCTTCAAATTCTCTCCCTTCACCGCCAGGGATTCTGGCATTAGCCGCAACATTATGTACGGTATATGCATCGTTTGATTAATACAAAGCTGCTTTGTGAGACTGACTGACTCCCTTATCTGCATTGTCGTTTGTTAAATCGTATATAATGGGACAGCACAATGTTTCGAATTTTACGTGTGGTATCGCTACGGGAGATCGCTGGCTCCCACCACGAAGCAAGGCGTGCCCACTTCTGGGTTCGAACCTACACCACAACGTCTCCTTATGTTAAGCAGGCAAACACGCTGCCTACTAGGATATCACATAGATGTGTCATAGTGGGACACTTCAGACTAAGTCAGTCCTAAGTAACTGCTTGACTGCTTGAAGCACTTGAGACTGCTTTTCTGTCCATGCTCTTCCCGGAGAATAAATGCTATATATATATATATATATATATGTGCGGACAATTCTTATAACGACCACTGTACGTATATAAGGTCGCTTCGCCTAGGGCTAACGTTTCGCATTAAACGAAACATTTAATGCAGTACGTTTTTAGAACAAATAATCTACTGATGTTCTCATTTAACATAAAGATGAAGAACACAAAAATGACTCGTTAACATCTTATTCCCGCACAGCGAATTAGAAATTTCATAATCAAATTTACTGGATGAGCACGCACGAATGTAGGCACATAATGCAGGCCCGTTGTCGACTTTGGTTTTCTGAAATATACCCAAGTTAGGAAACTACACCAACGCACGCAGTACATATAACGAACACGCCTCAATCCAGACACATAGCTGACAAATCTGATAGGTGCGAAACAAAAACGACGCCACGGTCTTACGGCCCACATTGCATTCAAACAATCTAATGTTTTTAGATAACAGAGATCAAAAAGAGAACAGCTTACTTCTCTTGTTCCTTTTTTTGAAGTGTAACTGTAGTGACTGACAAAGGAATTCACTTGGGAGTCCGAGACTCAAATCGGTTTTTGAACTTCCGCAGATACCACAGAATATCGAGGCAGGAACGAGTAAGTTAATGCTGGTCACCCTGGAACGTGACTTGACGTACGACAGGAAGTAGGA